CGCTCCTCTCAGCTGGAAGGCTGTCGGATTGGCGTAATTGGCGAGAGCGGTGTTACCCATCCGGGGCCTGTGGAGATAATCCTTTGTTGCCCCTCACATCTTGGGTTCCGTGCTTCCGTGGATGTTTCAAGCGCTGGCGAGGGTCTGTTATGCGTCTGGGAGTGTTTGAGAGGCAGTCGATACGCGGTCGTCGTGGCGTTGCTGACTCGACAGGGTGCCTTAGGCAAGTCTGAGAGTATTACCCATTATGGTCCCCAGCTTACCATTGCCCAGCATGTCTCTTTTGAAGTTGTCAATGATGTCTTGCTGTTTGGTTGGGTCGTCGCGAATACTTTTCCTGGTGTGGCGCCAGTCTGAATGATACTCGATGAGGAGGGTTTGTATAAGGCCTTCCCATGCTTCTGCCAGTGACACGGGTTGTTTGGCAATTGTTTGCTTGCAGCACTTCTTCCAAATTGCCCATAGTGTGAGGGGGCGAAGTCTCCGGTATAGTGTGCATTGCCACCTCCCCTGCATCCGCGGTTCCTTGAGGCCTGTGAGTGTGAGTACCGAGTCATCTGGGAGGGGGGACAGATGTGGCTGCTTCCCAAAGGTTGGCTGATCTGGCCCTTAGTTGGGCCGCCGACTCACAGGTTAGTAAACAGTGTGGGAGGTCTTCTGGAGTACCCTCTTCACAGAGTGCACAGATTTCATCGAAATCGATCCGGGCTGCTGGAGATCGCCGCCTGCTGATCCATTGGTTGAGTGGTAGTGAGTAGTAGTAGATAAGCCACTGCATGCTCCTCACTTTCGTGTTCCTGATGGACAGTGGCACTTGCCAGGATATTGTGGTATGGTTTCCGGTTCCCCCGACGAGGTGCTTGTCCCAGCGCTGTGTGAGTATCTGCTGTGTGTTGACTGGTCGTCTTCTCAGTTTGTAGCCCAACCTGGTAGAGTAGTCCAGGATAATGGTATGTCAAGACACCCTTGAGGCAGTGGATGACGTTTTCCAGGCCCATTCAGCCGGGTCGAATTCCAGATCTTGGATGGTTGTTGCCGCTGCATAGATTCTGTATTGTTCATCCTCGATCACTCGTACTCTTTTGAGTAGCTGGGGTTTGGCTGAGACCCAGGCCTGGACGACTTGGGAGACTTTGCTGACCGTGTGGCCTGGTTGTTGAATATCGTGCATGGTCCACCGGGCCCACTGGTCTGAGGGGCCTTCTTTTCTGACGTAGGACATCACCTCTGTTGGAGGATTCTCCCATGACCGGGTCGCCCAGTCCCCTTTCTTCCATTCCGTTGGTCTTTGGAGCAGTTTTGTAGCCACTTTGGGGGGATTGACATGAGCATGTCGTTGAGGTTTGTTTGCAGGCCGTGGCACCCTTTGAGTGTCGGTCTGAGTTCTGTGAGTATCTTCCATCTGTTGTATTGGTGGTTCCAGAGATGTTTGATCTGCCACACTCCGTGTTCTAACCAGGTGATCCACCGGGTGTCCTGCGTCGTATGTGTCCATGGTTTCCCTGTCTGATCCTTCACCCATTGGTTGCAAAAGATAGGCTGGCGTAGTACCTCGTCTCTATTTGCTGGTTCTCGGACCTTGGCCGGAAAAATCTCTCTCCATGCGTCGACTAGGTACAACCAGTAGTCCTTGCTGTTCCTCTGTTCTTGTTGCTGTTGGTGGTCTTGCTGGTGGGGCTCCTGTTGCCTGATGGTCCTGCGGCGGGCCGACCACGATTTGGCCATCAGCCAAAAAAGTCCTTGCATGTTGGAGGGTGTATTGGCCACCGGCAGTTGCCTGATCCGATACAGGGCCAGGGGGATCCAGGGCAGGTCAGCTTGTGTGAGCAGCTTAATCACCCACTTGGTTTGAAGTGCCTTTATCTGTGTGGCTGGATCTAATAGGCCCAGTCCTACCTTTCCCTTTGGTTGGGTGAGGTGTTGGTTTTCCTACCGGTTCAAAAAATCTGCGCATGTGGAAACACGTGCACGGACAAAAACCAAAAAGAAAAGGAAAGAATAAAACCAACTGAATGACAAAATGCCTGCCAAGTGGCTGGCATGTACCATAGGACGCCAGAAAGGCGTGAAAACAGGCGAAAAAAGATGGTGAAAACAGAAGTCGTCTTAAGTATTTGGTTTCAGGTTTTTTTCTAGGCTGGTCCCCAGGTGGCCTGGCTGGAGGAAGGTCGCCTGGGTACCCTCCCGGGCGGCCCGGGCCGGGCAGGGTCCAGGCAGCATCCCGGGCAGCCCCAATGCATAATATAAAAAAAAAAAAAAAATGAAGAACTTACAAAACAATCTGGAAAAAAAACTATGTTGTGTAAAACTGCAGTACAAGCAACTTTTGACTGAGAGTCCCCTCGAAATTTCTTATCAATTTTAAAATAAAAATAAATGAGGAGGAAACAGTGAAACGGTATTCACCTGCTAGCAGTAGCGAATGCAGATCCCAGGGCTCGATCCCTAGACTTCACCTTACCGGTGTACAATACCTGCGTCGACCCCGAGAGTTGAGCCCGTGACCTGTGTATTCGTAACAGTTTGATAGACTGTCGTAGGTCCGTAGGTGGTAGGGGTTCGATCTGTAGACCTATTGGATACAGGTCTTAGGGAGGCCTAGAGGTCGTAGCTGCAGGTGTCCTGAGAAGTCAAGGTCGTAGCTGCGACAGTCCTGAAAGGTCAAGGTCGTAGCTGCTACAGTGTTTGAAAGGCCAAGTCTGCAGCCTTCCGGAAGGTCCTAGTGGTGGCCTTTCGAAGTATTGCTCACGTTTACACAGAGGCAAGTGGGCAAGTGGTGAGCCCAACTGCGGTACATCGGCAGTGCGACTGCATTGAGTTGGCAGCGCAAACCAATGCAGTCAGCGGTACCGGTCCCAGTCAGTCACAGTCCAGTCAAGCAAGTACCGTGTGGGACTGTGTGCACCAGGGGCATGGGAAAGGGGCAGACCAACGAGCTACAGAAGTATAAATCAAGAGGCAGCGCCCAGCCATTCATTCATTCCTGCGTAAGCCATGCGGAAGCGCTGCTACAGCGACTTGTGCCAGGTGGTCTGCAGTATGCCCGAAGACGAAGTGGGTGAGAAGAAGAGTTTAGCCATAGCGGTAGAGGTAGTAGCGGCCATAGCCGCCATAGCTGGAAGAAGGGTGTAGTGTATGTGTGCATGTGTGTACAGTGTGTCGCGTGTGGGATATCCAGGGTGATCCTAAGTTGAGTGTGTGTGAACAGCAGAGTGGGGCGCAGTGACGAACAGAGAGTTNGTGTACAGTGTGTCGCGTGTGGGATATCCAGGGTGATCCTAAGTTGAGTGTGTGTGAACAGCAGAGTGGGGCGCAGTGACGAACAGAGAGTTGTAAAGGCGCTGACGCACCATAGCCATCTGAAGCGAGCTTGTATTTGAACTGTGTTCTGGGTTACCATATCTCTGAGCTTTGAGTGGGCGCTTGTCGCCGGTTTGCTGTGCGACCGGTTTACATGCATGTGAAGTGTGAAAGAAAGCGAGTCTGATTGTATTGGTATCGGAGCTGGTACCCGCTATCCCATGCGCCATCGCCGTTGCTGCAGGTCAGAGACGCGCCCCAGGTGGGGCGCCATAGCTGAAGTGCGCCATAGCTGAAGACAAAGTCCGCCATAGCTGCACTGTGGAGGAGGTCGTCGCTGTTCGTACCTGCAAGAAGACAATGACGAGAGAGAGGGAGAGAGGGAGAGAGAGAGAGAGACGAGCGATACAAGATTGGTCTACCACGTACCTGCGCTGAAGACACGCCACGGAGAGAGAGAGAGAGAGAGAGAGAGAGAGAGAGAGAGAGAGAGAGAGAGAGAGAGAGAGAGAGAGACAAGATTGGTTGTCACGTACCTGTTGCAGAGCATTGTGCGGTCCAACGAAGTGAAGGGGCGGCCATAGCCGCCGACCTTAGCCACGGAGTAACGAAGGAGGATGTGAGCAGAGAGACGGAGAGGGAGAGACCGAGCGAAGTAAGGAAGCCATAACCGAGGAAGGTGAAGGGAGAGAAACAAACAAAAAAAAAAAACAAAAAAAAAGAGAGAGAAAGAAAGAAGATAGTTGGGGTGGAAGATAGAGGCGAGGAAGAAGAAAGGAAGGAGAAAGAAGAAAGAAGGTTGGTGAGGAAGAAGAAGAAGGCAGCCATAGCCGAACGAAGAGTTGAGCGGGGGTTGACCGAAGTTGACCGGGGTTGACCACAACGTTGACCAAGCGTTGACCAAGCATTGACCAAACGTTGACCAAGGCGTTGACCAAGGCGTTGACCAAGACCGTTGACCACGACTTTGACCAAGCTGGAGCCGGTATAATCTCGCCAAGCCTTCAAGCCTATCCCCTCSCCCTATGGATGTGCACACACCCTGTGGTACTTGCTGAGTCAAGTCAGTTTGTCTCTTCTTTCTGCATCGAGTCTCTTTTGTCCAGGTGTTAGGACTCTGTGGATGAAGGATAGGGCCTGGTTGACCAAACCCGCACGGGCTGAGTAGGGCTAAAGGTTGTGTCTGACGACTCGACTGTCCCGGAGAATACGAACCCTCCCAAGGACCGGTGCTGACCGGCGGGCTGCTCGGTGTGGCGCGGTAGGCCCAAAATCCAAGTTGTGGGCTGCACAACAAGCCGTCTAAGTCTTGAGAGGACTTGCTGATTGCGTCGTCCTGTTTGCGACGTTAAATAATTCCTGAGGAGTTACAGGGGATCTCCTTAAATGCCTCCTGATCAGCAAACATAGTTTAGGCCCAAAATCCGAGTTGTGGAGAGCACAACAAGCCGTCTAAGTCTTGAGAGGACTTGTTGATCACGTCGTCCTGTTTGCGACGTTAAATAATTCATGAGGAGTTAAATAAGTCCTGTAGTGATAGCCATAGTTTTGGTCCAGGCTAGTGACCGTAGCTGACGGGATCTTGTCCGGATTCCGTGGTTCATAGATTGAGTCAGTAGGTTGTGTCAGTCAGGGGGTAGAAATCTAAGTGGTGAGGAGTGGAACTAATATCTAGTTGTGCACCTGACATCATGGTGGACACCCGTACTGGGAAGAGTACTACCCCTTATACTTGGGCTCAAGAGGAGCAAATGGCCGTCATTTTAAAAGAGAGAAAAGAGAAGAAGGAGCTCCTCAAGCAGGCGAAGTTAAAGGCAATTGCAGAGGAGCAGGCGGCGAAGAAAAAGAAGTTGGAGGAGGAGATGATGAGGTTACAGAAGGAGGAGGAAAAGAAAAGGAGAGTTGCCGAAGAAGAAGAAGCAGAGGAGGAGGAAGCATTGGAAGAAGGACTCCTCAGAAGACGTACAAGAGAGAGAGGACAGAGGAGTGGCACAAAGGAAGAACATATGTGGATGGAGAAGAAGATATTTGAATGGGTGGCTAATCTATCACTGGGAGAAGACGAAGAGGCAATGTTATATGTGCCTCAGGAGGAGAAGGAAGCAGTAGTCAGGGAGCTGGAAGCTATCGAGGACCCCCTGGACCGCCAGATGCTAGAGGATGAAAAAAGATTGGAGTGGAAGTTGCTTCTGGCAAGGGAGAAGAAGAGGAGGAGGGAGGAGGCCAACCAGATACAATCGTGTAAGCAAGAAGTGGGAGCACAGCAGGATATTCCGGCCAAACTAGACAAGATCTTGAGTTATCTCGAGATTTTGGGACAGGCCTGGACTAAGCAATATCAGGCTAATAAGGGCCAAGAAGTGACCCTCCATTCCATCCGGACCGGGTTTAGAGAGTTTGCGCGTGAGTGGTGACCCACGTCGGGACCGAAGTTAAGAGATTAAAGGAAGGCGCAAAGAAGTTTTGTGCAGGCGCCATTGAAGGCGCCAAGGTAGTGGCCACAACAGAGGCCGAAACGCGTCCCCGCAAAGAGTCTGTCAAGCTCAAATTTCATGTCTCTTATAGCGGGAAAAAGGACGATAATTTTGATAATTGGGAGGCCAGCATTACACTTATGTGTACTTACAGCATATCGCGCCAGAGGAACAAGTCCTCATGGCCTTCCATGCACTGAAGGATGAAGCAGTCAGCTTCGCCAGGTCCCTTGCGCGCACAGCCGATTGTGAGCACAATATGGTTGCGTACTCTAGGCTCACCCCTCTTCCTACCTTCATCAAACTCCTGCGAGAGAGGTTCACTAACGTCACAAGGGGCGTCAGGCCCTCCGATAAACTGCAAACAATCCACTCCAGGCAGTGGAAGAGTGCAAGAGCACTCAAAGCAGTGATGGATGACCTTGTAGCCATCCCAGACCACGGGGTCACTGAGACCCAGTTGGTTAACTTATTTTATCGTGTCATGCCAGAGCCCTTGCGAGGGCATTTCTTTGATAAGACCCAACAGGCCAATATTACGTATGATGCGTTAAGTAGGGAAGTGGTCCTGTTCGAGGCGAAGTCCATGCTTGTTTCCACTTTCTGGCATAAGGACTTAGACAAGGGAAAGAAGTGGAAGGGACGTACCATCTCAGGTCAGGTTAGGGCCAAGGATCACCTGATCCTTACTTTGGATGAGGGTGGTACGGACGAAGTTCTCTACAGTCAAATTGGGTGTGGGCTAGCGGAGGAGGACATTGGTGTAAGTCAGGGGAGGACGTATGCTGTTGTCGCGGTTGGAGGGAGGCCGCAAGGTAGAGGAGGCCAGGGCCAAGGGGGACGGGCCATGGGTGGTCGAGGTCCGGGTGCACAGGGGGTTGGCGGTCAAAGGAACCGTCAAGGGGGAGGTGGGGGTCAAGGTCCCCCACCGAATCGCTCAGGGCCTAGTCAATCGCCGCAGCGCAAAGGTGGAAGATCACCTCAGAGGCAAGGAGGTTGGCACCCAGGCTGGCCACAGGGCCGGCCTTGGGAAGACTTGGGCTTGGACCAGCGTGTGTGGCAACTGCGTATGGAGCAGGGGCAGTGCATCTACTGCGGTGACCCTGCCCACATTATCAAATATTGTCCAAAGTATAGGGAAGCCCGATTTGCTGCCCAGGGGTCAAAAGGCAGCCGCCAATAGGGGGCGCAACTGCCCCTACCATTAGGCCATGTGGGGAAGTGTGTGTGCACCACCAGGAAACTCCCACACCACGTGAGCCTATGGCAGAGGTTGCAGGCCAGTGCCTAGTTAGTTGTCCAGAGAATGCTTGTGTTAGCGTCTCTCAAGGCACTTCCCTCACAGGCGTGGCAGAAGATTTGAAAAAAAGGATGCCGGTCTGGGCCAAAATGAAGAAGGAAAGTAAAGGACAACTAGTGTTAGTAGATGTAGAAGTTTTTAGAAGCAGAGTAGGAGCCCTTATAGACTCAGGGGCTACTCGCGGTTATGTTAGTCGTAGAGTGTTGAAGAAGCTAAGACTAGGGTTAAAAGTCTAGAAGTTAACAGACCCCATAGTCAATGTCCTCGCAGACAACCGCACGATGCGTGTTGAGGACTACGTAGAGGGAGTCCAGGCATATTTCCCGCCTAGAGAAAGATGGGAAGGTGGAGAAGGTTCTCCATTCCCTGACTCTCCTCATACAGGATGACCTCCCTTTTGACATAGTCCTAGGTATGGACTGGGGAGAGGCAGTAGGGGCCACACTCCATTTGAGAGAGCATGAGTGTAGGCTCCCTAGTCCATCAGGTGAGGTTAAGACGGCCCGTTTGTTTCACATGTCAGGAGTAGACAACTCTCTGGCACATTGTTGTCTCAGTGCTCCCGCATTCGCGCGATTAGTGAGAAAGGAGCAGTTAGAGGAGCAGGTCTTTGTAGCTTATGTAAGGCCTATCACCGAGCCTAGAGAAGACACACCCATGGATCCAACCATCGCCAAGTTGTTTGAAGAGCTTAAAGACTTAGCAGAGCCGCCGACCGGAGTAGTACCGCGGCCGATCCAGCACCGGATAGAGATAGAGCCTGGCAGTAGGACTCCTAAGGGAGCAGTCTACAGGATGTCCCCAAGGGACTTAGAGGAGTTGCGCAAGCAGTTGGACGAGCTCCTAGAAAAGGGTTGGATTAGGCCCAGTTCGTCTCCTTTTGGAGCACCAGTATTATTTGTCCCTTAAAAGGAGGGAGAGTTAGAACGTTGAACCGCTGCCCAGGATAGATGACCTTCTAGATTCGGTGCAGGGTTGCAGATATTTTTCAAAGATAGATTTGACGTCTGGATATCATCAGATAGAGGTCCATCCTGATGACCAGTACAAGACTGCCTTCCGGACTAGATATGGGCATTATGAGTTCATAGTGATGCCCTTTGGACTAACCAATGCGCCAGCTACATTTCAACGATGTATGAATGATTTGTTTAGGCCTTGGTTAGATAGATTCGTTGTAGTTTATTTAGATGATATCTTAGTTTTCGGTAGGACCCTCCAAGAGCATCAGGGTCATTTGAGGCAGGTCTTGGAGAAGCTGAGAGAGGCTAACTTCAAGATCAATGCGAAGAAGTGCGAGTGGGCCAAGACACAAGTCTTGTACTTGGGCCACATTTTAGACGGAGATGGCATTAAGCCAGAGAACAGCAAAATAGCGGCGGTTAGAGATTGGCCGACACCCCGCACACTGACAGAGTTGCAGTCGTTCCTAGGTCTGGCTAACTACTATAGGAAGTTCGTGCGGAATTTTTTGACTATCGCCGCTCCCCTTCGCCGGTTGCTAAAGAAAGAAGCAATCTGGCAGTGGGACAAAGGCTGTACGTCCGCGCTCAAGAAGTTAAAGCGCGCGTTGATAGAGTACCTTGTCCTGAAAGTAACAGATCCGTCTTTGCCATTTGTCGTCACCACGGACGCGAGTCAGTATGGCATAGACACCGTGTTATAGCAAGACGACGACAATGGCTATAGACCCGTAGAGTTCATGTCAGCGAGGATGCCCTCAGAGAAGGTAGCTACCTCGACTTACAAGAGAGAACTCTACGCTCTCAGGCAGGCCTTAAGACACTGGAAGCATTACCTGCTTGGGAGGCACTTCAAAGTATATTCAGACCACGAGACCCTTAGGTGGCTGAAGACACAGGCCAAAATGACACCTAAGTTGACTAGGTGGGCCGCTGAGATAGACCAGTATGACTTTGAGCTCAAACCGGTCAAGGGCAAGTACAATGTGGTTGCGGATGCTCTAAGTAGGAGATCAGACTACTTTGGAGATATAGTCCACTATTTGGATGTAGGGACAGACCTGCAAGAGAAAGTAAGACAGGCGTATGTGCAGGACCCTATCTATAGCGACCTCCTCAAAAGAGTTAGGGAGGCCCCAGAGACAGAACCACACTACCGCACGATAGAAGGATTGTTGTTCGAGAAGACCAACGTAGTAGACCGTCTGTGTGTTCCCAATAGTGAGGAGATTCGCAGTTTGATCTTAGGGGAAGGCCACGTTACAGAGGGACATTTCGGTTGGCAAAAGACTCTCGCCAACCTGATGCATTCATGTACATGGCCGGGAATGAAAGCTGACTGCATAGAGTATGTTCGCAGTTGCAAAGTTTGCCAGAGGAATAAGACAACTACGCGTACCCCTCTAGGTCTTCTTCGACCCTTGCCCATTCCTGACCAACCTGGAGATTTTGTCTCCATTGACTTCATGGACGTTGGTGTCAAGAGTAGGCACGACAAGAGCCAAGTCATGGTCATAGTCGATAGATTTAGCAAATATGCAGTTTTTGTTCCCTTGCCTGTAGAGGCACGCACTGAGTTAGTCATTCGCAAGTTTTTTTACCATTGGGTTAGTGATCACGGGATTCCGCTGTCTATAGTTAGCGATAGAGACACCCGGTTCACTAGTCAGAACTGGCAGGAACTCATGAAAGTTTATGGGTCAAAGTTGCTAATGTCGTCTGGCCGGCACCCCGAGACTAACGGTCAGACCGAACAGATGAATAAGATCCTGCAACAAGTTTTGCGTATGTACATTAGACCCAATCAAGTCAATTGGGATGCAATGTTGCCCAAGGTAGCTAGTGCTTGTAATAACAGCGTGCACTTAGCCATGTGTCGCACTCCCAATGAACTGCACAAGTCCTTTAGACCTCGCAGACCGTTTGAGGGACTTAACCGGGACCAGATTCACAAATTACCGCCCGGTACCAGAGAGTTTGCGATACAACACGAGAAGGAGTTAGCTACCGTTGTAGAGAACCTCAGGAAGGCCCAACACCGAATGGTAGAACAGGCTAACAAACACCGTCGTCCGTCACAGTTTCAAGTAGGCGACCTGGTCTGGGTCAAGTCCAAAGAGTTTTCTCCTGAGGAAAACATCTCACAGAAGTTACTGCCCGCGTATAGAGGACCGTGGTCAATTCTAGAAGTTAAGGGCGGAGAGGATGGACCGTCCTACACAGTACAGATCCCAGCACACCTCCACACCTACCCCATGTTTCATGCGTCAAAGTTGTTGCCATGTGTCACAAGTCGACAGTTTCCATCTAGAAGATCCATGATCCCCCCAGACATGGACGGAAGGTACGACATTGACGACATTGTAGATGAAGATGTGTTTAGAACAGGAGGTGGAGGTCGTCCACAGAAACAGTATAAAGTCCGGTTTGCTTATCACGAACCAGAGGATGACCGCTGGTTTACTAGAACGGAACTTCTGAAAACAGCTCCTGACATAGTTAGAGCCTACGAGAGAGATAAGAAAGGTAAAGGTCCTGCCTTGGACTGAATTATTCTCGGAGGACCTCGAATTTAGGCCGGTGGGAGTGAAACGGTATTCACCTGCTAGCAGTACCGAATGCAGATCCCAGGGCTCGATCCCTAGACTTCACCTTACCGGTGTACATTACATGCATCGACCCCGAGAGTTGAACCCGTGACCTGTGTATTCGTAACAGTTGGTAGACTGTCGTAGGTCCGTAGGTGGTAGGGGTTCGATCTGTAGACCTATTGGATAGAGGTCTTAGGGAGGCCTAGAGGTCGTAGCTGTAGGTGTCCTGAGAAGTCAAGGTCGTGGCTGCTACAGTCCTGAAAGGTCAAGGTCGTAGCTGCTACAGTGTTCGAAAGGCCAAGTCAGCAGCCTTCCGGAAGGTCCTAGTGGTCGCCTTTCGAAGCATTGCTCACGTTTAGACAGAGGCAAGTGGGCAAGTGGTGATCTCAACTGCGGTACGTCGGCAGTGCGACTGCATTGAGTTGGCAGTGCAAACCAATGCAGTCAGCGGTACAAGTCCCAGTCAAGCAAGTACTGTGTGGGACTGTGTGCACCAAGGGCATGGGAAAGGGGCAGACCAACGAGCTACAGAAGTATAAATCAAGAGGAAGCGCCCAGCCATTCATTCATTCCTACATAAGCCATGCGGAAGCGCTGCTACAGCGACTTGTGCGAGGTGGTCTGCAGTATGCCCGAAGACGAAGTGGGCGAGAAGGAGAGTTTAGCCATAGCGGTGGAGGTAGTAGCGGCCATAGCCGCCATAGCTGGAAGAAGGGTGTAGTGTATGTGTGCGTGTGTGTACAGTGTGTCGCGTGTGGGATATCCAGGGTGATCCTAAGTTGAGTGTGTGTGAACAGCAGAGTGGGGCGCAGTGACGAACAGAGAGTTNGTGTACAGTGTGTCGCGTGTGGGATATCCAGGGTGATCCTAAGTTGAGTGTGTGTGAACAGCAGAGTGGGGCGCAGTGACGAACAGAGAGTTGTACAGGCGCTGACGCGTCATAGCCATCTGAAGCAAGCTTGTATTTGAACTGTGTTCTGGGTTACCATATCTCTGAGCTTTGAGTGGGCGCTTGTCGCCGGTTTGCTGAGAGACCTGTTTACATGCATGTGAAGTGTGAAAGAAAGTGAGTCTGATTGCACAGGGTTCATAATAGCAGAGTTTTCATGTGGCTCACATGGGGGATTTACAGTTTAGACAAAATTGGCAGCTTTGGCAGCTTCTAGGACCTTTCTCGCTAGTCATGCTTTATACGACAGGTTTTCGCAGTAGACCTGAGAGGAAAGGATGAAGCAGGGCAAGATGACAGTCAATCCTCCACGATGTTGGAGCAATCAATGCTGGTCAGGGGTCCTTCGGCCGGCCGGAAGGAAGCGTGGGTGAGTAGTTATGATGTATCCTGTAATTCTGACTTGCCGGTGGAATAGGAACCGGACTGATTGAAAGGGTCTTTTTCACCCAATGTAGGCCTCAGGCCTTGTAACTAAGCAACGTGGGCCATGTAAAAGTAAAGCAGCCTGAAAAGGTATCTCGCCAGGGCTCAGAAACGTGAAAAGCAGGTCAAGAGTCCAAGTTCTTTACCAACGGGCACATCCTGAAGCAAAGGGCATTGTCAAAAGACTTACCTGTTCGCCAGCAGTTGTGTAGGTCATGAATAAGGTGTGTCT